TTTGGGGAGGAACAGAGTTCCCTTCCGCTTTTGTTTTTGTCCTTCCCCAGGCTTTTTTAAGAAAAGTGGAAAAAGTTTTGGCCCGTGGCCCGTCAGCCCTAGCTCAACAAGCAAAACTCAAAACTTCCCTGGGGCTCCCGAGGCCCGATCCTTCCTGTTTCTCAGCCCCCTTCCCCGGGTAGCCCTTTGGGAACCTACAGGGGCAATGCCCGCCACCATGCCCCCCAACCGCCATAAAAAATTTTTTTTTTTTTTTTTTTTTTTTTTTTTTTTTATATAATAAATATAATCAAGTTTTTTTTGGGCCCAAAAATTTTCGTTCCCTTTTTTTTTTTTCCTATTTTAAATTAGTTAAGAGAGGGTTCCTTCGCTTTTCTTTTTTTTTTGCTTTTTCAAAAAGGGCGCTGGTTTTTTTTTTTTGAACTTCCCCCCTTGAAAAACCCCTTGGAAAAAAGCAATTTCCACCCCGCAACCTTCGCCCCCCCTCCCCCCAAGAAGAGCTTAAAAGGGGAATTTTAAAAAAATTACCAAGGCGTGGAAAGCCAAACCCCCGCCCGGCCCCGGCCCCCAAGCCTAAAAAGCATTTTCCTTTTTTTTAAATTTAAACCACCCAGTTTTTTTTTTTTTAAAAGGCCACAAAATAAAAATAAAATTAAAAAATTTTTTTTTTTAAAATGGAATAAATTTGGCCCAAAAATAAATCCCTTTTCCTTAAAAAAAGAAAAGTTTGCAAAAACCCAAAATTTCACCACTCTCTTGAAGCCAAATGGGGGTTATAAAATATTTTTTGGCCCCTTATTTTTTTTTTCCAAATATCCCTTCCAAATTTTTTTTTTTTTTAATTCCTTTCCTCTTTTTTTTCTCTTTTCTTTCTTCCCAAAACCACAAAAAAGAAAAACTTAATGGTGTTAAAATTTTTAAAAAATTTAACAAAGAAAAAAAAAATAAAAAAAATCAAAATAGGTTTTCCCCCAAGTTTTTAGAAATTTTTTTTGGGGTCAAAAAAAATAATGTTTTTTTTTTTTTTTTAAACTTTAATCAAAATTTTTTTGCAACATTAGAAAATAAGGTTTTTTTTTTGGGAAAAAAAAAATAAAACAAGTTGAAAAAGAAAGAAAAAAATTTAAGGAATCTGTTTTTTTTTTTTTCCCTTTTTGAAATCAATAACTGGGGCCCCACAAAACCCAATTGGGGGTATGCCCCTTCCCTGAAAGGCAATTTGGGGGATTTTTTTTTTTAAATTGACTTTTTAAACCCCCTGTAAAAACCCCCCCTGTTCCTTTTCCCCTTGAAAAATGTTTAAAAATTAAAACCCCAACTGTAAAAAACCCCCAAAAGCCCCAACCAGCGAGTCCCCCCCACTTAAGCCCTTCCCCGAAAGGCCCCTTCTTTTTGGGCAAAAAAAAAAAAAGTGGGGCTTTTTTTTTTTTTTCCCTTTGGGGGTTTTTCAAATTTGGTTTCCCTTCAAAAGGTTTTTTTTTTTTTTTTGCTTTCCAGAAATAAAATCCTTCTTTTTTTTTTTTTTAAAATTTAAAAATTTTTTTTAAACAAGAGTTTTTTTTTTTTTTTGGGGGGCTTTTTTTTTTTTTTTTTTTTTTCCCCGTTTGACCAAGACCCTTGGGCAAAAGCCAAAAAAAAAGCCAGAAATGGGAAAATTCCCTCTTTAAAAAAAAAAAAGGTAAAAAAGGGTTCCATGTTTTTTTGGCCTCCCAAATTGGGTTTTTTTCCCCAACCCCAATTTCAAAGAAGGCCAAATCCAAAAAAAAAGTCCCCTTCCCCCTTTTTATTGACAAAACACATCCTCCTTTTTTTTTTTGTTCCCTTTTTGGGCCTTTTTTTTTTTTACCCTTCTTCCCTGAAACCTTTTTCAACCCTTGGGCTTAACTCCCCCCCTTCTTTTGTTCCCCTTTTCCCTCTTTTTTCTTTTTGCCCCCCTCCAAAAAAGCCCAAAAATTGGACCGTCCTTCCCTTTTTCTCTTTTCCCCTTTTTTTAAACAACAAAACAGAAGAAAAATGCTCCCCAAAACAACAAAAAAAGGGCCCCTTTTTATTTAACCACTAAAATTAAATTTTTTTTTCCTTTTTTCAATTTAAACCCCCTTGCAAAACGTCTCTTTTTTCCCCCAGACCATCTTTTCCCCTTCCCCTCAAGTTGTTCCATTTTTTAAAAAAATCAGAAGTGGGGGGGTTTTTTTCCCTTTAGGTTTTTTTTTTTACCTTTTAAAAAAATTTAGCCCCCAACCAAAAAACCCCATCCCTTTGCCACCTCTTTTTTTTTATGGTTTCCCTTTTTTTTTTTCCCTTGGTGGGTTTACCAACTTTTTTCCCTTTCAAGAAAAGCATTGTTTTCCAAAAAAACGAATCTTGAACCTTTTTTTTTCTTTTTTTTTTGGCTTTTCAATTTCCCATTTGCCCTTTTGTTTTTTTTTTTCCCCCACCAAATAAAACCAGCTTTTCAAAAAAAATAAAATTACCTAGTTCCAATAATGGAAAAAACGGAAAAATTCCCCAAAGTTTCAATTTGCCATTTGAAAATAAAAACCCTTCCCACCCTTAAAGGGGTTTGACCCAACTATAATGAAAAAAATGTGGTTTTTTTTTTTTTTGTTTTTTTTTTTTTTTTTCCTTTTAACTTTTTTGGTTAAAAAAAAGAAAACTTTTTTTTTTTTTTTTTTTTTTTTTTTTTTTTTTAAACATTTTTTTTTAAAGTTTTTTTTTTAAAAAAAAATTAACCTTTTCTTATTCATTAAAACAAATTGGGGGGGGGTTTTTTAATTTTTTTTTTTTGGGCAAAAAAATCCTTTTTTTTCCACCCCAAATTTCCTTCCCTGGTTTCCCAAACTTTTAGGAAGTTTTTTTTTTTTTTTTTTAAAATTCATTAAAGGGTTTTTTTTTTGGGTTGGCAGTTTTTTTTTTTGTTTTGGGGGGAAATGGCCTAAATCCCTGGAAAAAGACAGTAATTAAAAAAAGGGCAAAAAAGGGTTGGAAACTTGCCCCCCAATTCTGTTCCTTGTAGTCATTTTTCTTTTCAGCAAAATTATCAATAGCTTTTTTTTTGGAAACAATTTTTTATTAAAAAAAGGTAGGTTTAAAGATAAAAAAAAGAAAAATATCAATTTTTATTTGCCCGTAGTGGAGTTAATTGCATGTTTAAAAATTAGCATTCAAAAAAGAGATTTGGTTTTTTTAAAATAAAAAAGAAAAAAAAAGTTT